TTGTGTTTAAAAACATTATTTAAGCATGGCAAAAATAAAATTTTTAATGAATTAGGAATTTATGAAAATTAATTGATTGCGGAATGATGGTGTTTCCTCAAAAATCCTCCGCTGGCCTTTACCACGTGAGTTAGATATTAGGCGTGCCACTTGCTTTGTCTAAAAACAAGAAAATAGGATTTTCCAAACGACCCTTCTCCTTTCCAGCGGTCGACCTCTAATAGGATGGCTGGAAAAAACATTTGTGAAATGAATTGCGCCCCAGACGATGTTGCAAAACAGAGGGTAGAGTTCTGCAAAATGGGTTACTGATTGCCTTGGAAACCTCCAAGTACTTCACAACCAAACAAGTGTAATAAAAGCTACAAATCCTAAAGTAATTAAACTAACATGAAATAAAGAACAGAAAATAACATGCCATGAAAATTAAATTCGCAGACAACAGAAAAAGTAAAATAACAGACAATGATTTCAACTACGCAGCCCATAATAATTAACTAAAACTAAAGAAGAAACTATGAAATGATTAAAGTCTGAAAACTTATAAAATCAAATTTGGAAATTGAAATTAAATAAACTGAATGTCTGGATATTGTGCAAAAACAAAAGAACAAAAGTAGAAAACATTCAACCTATTTACATGAACGAATAACATAATTAAATCCATAAAAAGAAGAAGAACTAACCGAATCAAAAGGGCAGACCTGTTTTGAAGGCTAAGTTGCTTCCAAATACTTAAAAATAAATCTAAACTGGAATTTGCGGAAGGAAATATGAACAAAGATGATCAAACCTAGGCTAAGGCTATGAACTAATCTGGAAAATCTTGGAAATCTGGAAACTATTGCTGAAATCTGGAAAATGCAGTCTGAAAGCTGAAAAACATGCTCTGGGCAGTCTATGTGTGTGTTGGGCAGGGGTTCAAACTGTTCTCTTCTCTCTGTATTTATTTTTTCCGGTGCTAGTAACTTCCTCCATGATCTTCGGTACTGTTCCTCCATTTTCGGCACTGTTCCTCCATGATCTGGTAATGGGATTGCAAGTCTGGCAGTTATTTAATAGTTATCCGATTTTTATTTAACCTTATCTCCAACAACCTTAAAGATAACTACTTAAAAATCCTCAATTTCCCATTTTAAATCAAACTCAAACTACCAGATCCAATCTTATCTTTTGCCACCTAAGATCCAACCTCCTTGGAAATCCGTCTGGGCCGTTAAGTTGTAAGCCAGCCCAACCCAAATCCAACCTATTGATTTTCTTGATAATTGGGCTTTACCTTGACACGTGGCCTTACCCTATTGGTTTATTTTAGGTGTAAACAATGCCCCCAACACTTGGTTTTATGGGAATAAATCCAAGTGTTTAAATTTTAAATTACCTTTCAGACTCCAAAGGCCACGTGCAAAATCTACTAAATCCCAAGATGATTGCAGTAGGTATTCTCAACTTTTTCACAGCTAACTCTGTCTGAGCGCATCCAGCCATCCACAGCCAGTCATGGCCGCTCGATCAAACTTGTTCTTATTTTGGAATAAACGCATGAAAGCAAATCAACTTATTTATGCACAGACAGAAGTCAATGTTTTCAAAACCGGACCGGTCATTGAACCGTTTTCAGGTCCGGTTCCCAGTTTGACCGGTTCAACCGGTTGAACCGATGAACCGGCCGATCCAAACAATAAGGAAGGTTTGATGAGAGGAGCAAGCTATAGGCATGGATTTTTTTATTTGGTGTTGATAATTTTGTAATTTTGTTAAAGTTAAAGGTTAAAATGGGTATAAGAA